ACTTTATTAGCAAAGAAGTATAAAACTTCTTGCAAACATCTTTTTTGTGTGTGGTCAGAGGATCAGCGGAAAGAGTTCTTTTTTGTTTTTGCTTTTCCCTTTAAAAATTTATTTTTATTTGTAATTATAGTAAATATAATAATTATTTAAAATTATTAATTAAAATATTTTTCAAAAAATTTTTTAATTTTAATTATTTTTAAAATATATAATTTTAATACTATCTTTTATTTTATAGTATAACATTTATATATTTCTTTATACTATATAAATCAAAATCATTAAAATAAAAACTTTTTGTTTAAATAATATATTAAATTAAATATCTTTTGTTAATTTTGTAATATTGACATATTTTCAATTTTATAAATAGATCTATTTTTCTAAAAGATGGTAAACAAATACTACAAAATAGTAATAAAAATTACATAGAAATCAAATTTATACATTGATTATACATGTATGCTCAAGGAAAACAATTGGAATAAGAAAAAATCTTGGATTGTGTAAATGTATAGATCACTCGAAATTACTAGTTCAATGATAAACGAAAGGTTAGACAAAATCTTCGGTTGAGAAATCATGATAATTTTAAAAAAGATAATTTTGCAAACTACAGTATATCTCCTTCAAGACTTACAGTATGCATGGGCTGTCAAAGATTTTCAAATTAAATGTTTATGAATTCTTGGACAACAAAATTTAAAAAACAAGTGCATTGATATGTGCCGCATATCAAGATAATAAATAATAATTATATAGTGCTCGCTATTGTGAATAAATTTTGTGAATTATAAATTGAAGCTACCACACAAGAAAATTATGAATTGTTCATCCATATCATGCAGGAATCCAGTACCTGCATCACATTTTTAGATAATATCGTCGTCGTCGTCATCCATATTATCCAGTGTTCCCATTCTTTCGTGCCCGAGCCTTTCAGTGCTGCGATGTTTTAAATCAAAGACATCTATTATTGCCTGCTTAAAACATTGGAAGTTATAGTCTATCAATCCTTGTTTTTCGAAATTTTCGGATTGAATGAGACAAACTAATGCGAGGATTCTGGATCGGAAAAAAGAGCATTGTATTAATAGGTCGACCGTTCTAAAATGAAAATAAAAGAGAGGAAATACCTGTTGATACCCTTGAGGCATAATACCATATCAGTATTCATTCTAATTAATGATGACACATCACTTGCCGACTCGGAGATCATTCTATAAGTGCCCCCTCGTGATTGTTCGTCGAAAGTCTTATTGTCAATAAAATGTTGACTCGCATTTGTTCTTCAAAGTTGATTCCGCAACGAATTAGTAATTATTAGTAATTATCGAATAGTGTTGCAGTAAAAATTTACCCGTAAAGTTCGGAAATGTCGAAAACAGTATCAATCATATCACTGCAAATTTCGTAAGACTGCATGTCCACAGGAGAACTATCGGTGGCTATGTAAATCTTGGATTGAATGTCAAATAAGAAGGCCTTTTCTATCCCAGAATTCTACATGCATATAAAGTCCTGACTCAAATAAATAAAGCATGTTCATGCACGTGATCTAGTCAAAATATAACTTACCGCACATAATATATTCAACAAGTTTTCCAATGTTGACAATTGTGGCACAAGTTTTTGAACAATCTTGCTAAATGATTCAAAGATTGAATGGTCGTAAATGCTGGTCAGGTAGAATCCTGGTGTAATTTTCTCCATATCATCGTCCGCCAACTCGTCCATAACCCTTTGACTGATATCACGTTGATATTCAATTTTAAGTTCGTCAGACAGCGAATCCACTTTATGTATCAGCACTTCGAAGTGAAGGTTGGGGTTAACTTTGTAAGCCTGTTTCACCGTCTGACAGAGTTGCATTATAGCGTCTATGTAATCATCCTAATTTTTTTAAGGTTCACTTTATCACGGTTAGGTAACGATACTTGAGTGATGACCATTTAGCCGAAAAAGTACGAAACTTACTTGTGCATCTATCACGAAAATCAAAGCTCCATATTCCCCAAAAATCGTACTTGAATCAAAAGTTTCATCGAAATAATCAAGTTGTCCCGGAAAGTCCCACACCTGAAAATCAAAGAACGACCTAAGTTAAAAGGATAACATATATGGTTAGCGTTCTCGTTGATTTACAAGAAGCATTGGAATACATTAGGGTACAGGTGAATGGCATTACACGACATTCTGTTTTTCAATTTTATGAGTAGACTCGAGATATAATGTATCGTTAGGAGCCATTCTGTTGAAAACCACTCTGTGAATGCTGGACTTTCCACTCCTACGGTTTGAGCAAATTAAATATTGAGCCTTCTCGACATCTTTGGTAAAGATTAAATTCAGGAATCTTTCTTACCCACCTTCTCTTGCCCATTATCAACAAACGTGGTTGATGTTCTTGAACGGAAGCGTCGATCTGCTCGTCTTCGTCCCTGGTTTATGACGATTATTCACTTAGATATGAGCCCGCGAAGCAAGGTTTTAATAAAAAAATAACTTACTCCAAGTGATCTAAAACTCCTGAAACGCTAGTATCTCGAAGGCTGTATTGGTCTTCCTCGGATTGCTAGGAGAAAAATCATTCAATATTATTCGGGAGTAACAACCGGAATTCAATTTGACAATTTACTCACCGGCATTACGAAAGGTTATTACAAATCAAAGAAAAAACTTATGACCTTTATGGATGTTGCTAGAAAATCTAGTTGTAACGATAGGATAATCCGTCGATCCGGATCTCATCACGGTCTCCACTTTATTTAAAGAACTGTTTGTAGTACAGCGGCTTTCGGACGTCGCGCGATCCAAACTCGGAAGTCCACAAATGAGAATAATCACATTTTTATTCTCATTTATAAAAAATTTAATCATTTACTGTATTTGAATAATATATTTATTTATTATGCTGTATTAAAAAGATTATTTTTATATTAATGTTAAACAACGAGTCTGTGGAACTTTATTCATTATCCATTGGCCTAATTGGACAGATAAATCTAGATTTTCAAAAAATTTATTCGTACTAATTTAAAAAGAAAGAAAAGAAGCATTCTTTTTTTTTCGAATGTTCAGATCAAAAAGGTCCAACTTAATTTACAAAATTTCAAGTATTCGGCGTTGCTACGCCTCTGCGATTCAACTTCCCTTTCATCCACATTACGTTCCCCCGGGCAAGCAACCTGTCATTAGACGAAATCCAACCCCTGGCAGAAAGAAGGGATTAAAAAGTTCTTACACTGTTCCTTCTTGGAACTTGAGCGTCTACCAGAAAAAAGATCACGTATTAGGATTGCCAGCCGAGGTGGTGAGGTCCCAAAAGCTGATCTTCGTGGGAATTCCTTCAGTTAATAATAATAGATCACGAACGGTAGAAACAAGGGAAGGTGATAAAGAGCGAGAAGGGAAGATTCCAGTTCTATTCAGACTTTCGACTATATGCTTTATTGCGACCGGACTCGCTCGATATTTCCACCGTCACGACGACGTTTTGAGTAGGGAGTGACGACTGCCGAAGTGCAACATTAAGTTTACATAAAGGTGAAATTCCAGATACCTCAAATAGCGTCGAGGCAGATGCATTGTATAAGTATTGTCTTTGTTGCGCGTCAAACGTCTCTAATAACACATGCATGCTAATTGTAAAGGTTTGTTTAATTGTGTACATAAATAAGCATTGAAAAAAAGAATTACATCTAGAATGGTAGCCTCAACAACAGTTAAACATGGACTGTTGTTTTCCCCATATAAAAACACAATCATCTCTCACATGTATAAAAATAAAATACAAACTTGTGTAATAAACTTATCATGTAAATGTAACAATTTTGAAAAGAGTGGCGCTAAAATAAGAACGTCAAATTCGAGACAATTTAATTATTCTCGCCATAATTCTCGAGTACCATATCATTCAAACCGAGAAATTCATTTTGTTCGAAACTCCTTTCGTAATTTTCTATCTTCATGTTCGGATCGGGGTCTAGATAGTTGAATAGGGGAATTTGGTAAAAAAAAACAAAAAAACAAAAAAATTTTCAAATAAAATTAAAATAAAGAATGTCAAATGATCGGCACCTGGAGCATATGGGTTCTGCAAGTATGAGTTGGAGAGCGGATCGTCTAATATCAGGTGAACAGGAAAGCTTTCTCCATTGATGACCTTATCCAACTTTTTCATAAAATTCTCGAAGGCAGTTTTGCGCTCGTTTTGCACGCCATCCCCACTGACAAACGGAATCTTCTCTTTCAGTTCATCATAGACCTGCCTCAAAAGTCCTTCAACTGTAGTAAATCTACCTCCCAGTGTACCAGATTGGAGTTCAAGGTCAACCTCAGGAATTGACAGTCCACATGTCTCTGATTTCAGAATATCACGCGATAAGTCATCGACATCTTCCATTTTAAGAATGATTCTCTTTCCAGTTGGAGAAATAGGACCGCCCGCTTTAACTTCATTTGATTTATAACCACAAGACTGATTCAGAGTTAGCTTAGAGGAGATAACAAGAATATACTCTTGAAGGTAACTTACATCGCAGGTGGTTGACATGATGACAATTTCCTTGAAGTGTGGTATATTTATTAAGTGCATTTTCGTGTCGGTTGAAGCAGCGCATTGTGAGCATTTTGCTGGAAACCTCATGACTTCCGGGATTTCGTCGTTGTCGTCGTCATTTTCTCCGGAAGTGCCCGTATCCTCTGAGGGTACCGCCAGTCCCAATGCAACATTCATCTCGTGCGTTCGATTGTAATGACAAACTTGAAGTTTAGGATCTGGAGCAGGAGCGCATAAATTTTCTATGTAACTTTCAGGAGAAGAAGGATTAAACCATCGAGTTCACTTGAACTATCCGCATGTAAATCAATCAAAGCTCAAGTACGCAAGATCGTTGATAAGACTCGTTCACCTATTCCCCGCTGGGTCATCAACAACTATGGAAAACTCTTCGCCCTCCTCTAAGTAACTCGAAAGCTTTCGTATAATAGCATCGATCTTATTGTACGTTTCTTCGTCCGTCGATTTCCTGATGGGTTGATCCGCAGACAAATCTTCAACAATACCGGACACCAATCCTTCAACGGTTGTCAGTCGACCTTTTTTTGTGGTGGCCGGTATTTCAAGGTCAAGTTCAGGAATTCTTATAGACGCCGTCTCCGATTTTACCAATTGGCGATTAAGATCTTCTTTGTTGTCAATTCTACAAGTGTAGGTACAACCATTCTCGGCGATTTTCCCTGCAAATTGAACTTCATTATTACTCAGACCGCAATGCTAAAGATAAAATTTGGGTTAAATTCTTGGAATTAATCACAATAATTCATGACAAAGCGACACGATACCTCGCAATTAAAGCTCATGATCACGATCTCCTTCCAATGTGGAATTTTGGTTAATAACAATTTTGTAATTCCCTTTTGATGTAAATTTTGGTCAAATTTAATAATGTCCATCTGTAAAAGTGTTTATGATAGTCGATTCCTTTACATTTTGTCCACAACTCATACACAAACTTTCGATCTCCGTGGGCCCCGCACCATCATCGTCAGCAACTTCCCCAATTTCAGGAAAAAGTTTTTCCGCCTTAGACTCATCCGTTTTCTCGGTCATTTGTGATAACGAGGTCAAGTTTTTTATGCGCGGCTGATCGGAAAATTGTATAAATTTATAAAACACGTGTCGCCACTAAAATTCATATATATCATAAAAAGATTGTGCAACACAACTAATCCGATTAAAAAAAAATGGGTCTTTCAGAGCCGAGGATAAAACAACGCATTTCTGCCGACCCTAGAAATCTCGCCTGGAGCAATGGTAACACGCGCCTCGCGCAGATTCTTTGACTGCGTTTTGCTTTCACTCACTTACGCACTTCTCAACCGGCTACTTGAATACAAGATCGAACAAAGTTTGGTTACAAAATGTTAACGAAAATGGGTTGGGAGCCCGGTAAAGGACTTGGCCTTAACGAGGACGGAGCGCGAGAGAACATTCAACTTTCTGTCAAGCAAGATTATTTGGGCATTGGTGCCTCGAAACGGACCATAGATAACTGGTTGGATAATTCTTTTGCATTTGACGCATTGTTGAAAGAATTGAACAGTGGGAGAGGCGACGATCCCAATGATAAGAAATTAAGCGAGAAAGCTATAAGTTCGGGAAATGACACCAATTCAACTGAATTCAGAGATTCCAAAATCACGCCACCTACACGCCTCGCGTATGCATGCACCCCAGTTTGCTACATCTATATTATAATCATAACGTTTACTCTGAATTCACTAAACACGTCCTTACAAAAAATAACCTTTAGTCATCGGGCGAAATTTTTAAAGAGCAAAAAGGATTCCGTGAGAGACACTGTGCGTTTGAATGAAATTTTTGGAATAAAGACAAAACCAGATTCATTGAGTGCCACAGATATAACTAACGAGACGGCTGTTCAAAATGATCTTGACGATAATTTTGGAGTTCAAACGGTTGTCAACAAATTGAGCATCGAGGAGTATTTCTCATCGAAAACAAAACTAACAGGTAACTTCATCCTATTTTGAAGATTTACTTAAATTCTTCGTGATAATAACTGGATAATTCACGTATTCAGTGAAATCCGAAGCCACTCCATCCGAAGAAAGATCTACTCTCGAGGCAAATAATTTCGAATTTAGACAAAATGAAGAGATAATGGAGTTTACTGGCCTCGGATATATCTCTGATTCGACAAAGTGTAAAGAGAAAAGGAAGAGAGAATCAATCATGGACGCAACAAATTCTGACCGCGTGGAGAGAGTTAAAGAAAAGAAAAGAAAGAAAAAGAGCAGATCAAAAAGGCGGAAGGAAAAATAATAAATCGATAAGGGCCGGAGTTGATGACATTAATCAGAATTTCCGCGCAATCATCTTGTCGGTTCGGTTTTCCGAGTTGCGGTGATTAACGAAAAAAAATGGTCTTTCATAATAAGATTATGACAAACACTAAGTTAGAAACGAAAATGAAATTTTAATAACCTAGCCCTGTAATTTTTATTTTATATACAGTGTAACAATCAATTTGAAAATGTTCAGAATCCTTTTACAGAAGGTTCTACCGCCGCGCTAACTTGTTAATTAATCAAAAACTCGCGGGAACACGTCTCCCATCTTAATAAAAGTGGATAGATATCTCTAAAAATACGATATCCATAATGGTTGTTAGTTTGACAACTCGTGAAAATCTTTTTCTAAGTCTCGGAGTGCTTCAACAGTTCCGATCACACAACAGATCGTCCCAATCAATATCACAAATCCGCCCCATATTAACTCTAGATAAGATATCTTTTCAAATCCATATAGTTTCACATAAAACACCACTGGAAGAACAAATACGAGGAGGCATACTGCCAGAGCACCTAGGAGTGCCATTAGGTCCCCAAAGAAAGGAACGAAAACGGCAGCAGCAGTGGTAATGACAATTAGGGAAGAACGAAATGCCACACGTAAGAGGAACTCAGCAACGCGAGAATGGTCTTCGCACGTAATCTTCAGAATTCTCTCCATATCGGTAGCGAAGGATGTTAAAAGAATTGGCGCCGTCAAGAGCACGTGAATGGTAATTAGCAAGGATGCTATAATCAACAGTGGCCCTGAAATTTATGAAGTTTATAACATTTAACATGAAAAGTTACGAATGCTTCGATTATAGCTATTTATTGGTGGTAAAGAGATCGTACCTTGGGGTAAATTTCTGAAAATAGGACTAAAGGAATTATCTCCATAAACATAGTATCCCGCGAAGGAGACCAACGTGTACATGAATGCACATGTAGCCATAGCTGCAGCGACAACTTTGTTCCAGTCTTTTCGTCGGTCCATACTTTCTTCAATATGAGGGAAAACGCTGTTGCCACCATACGAAAAAGAAATGGTAGCTAACGCGATGGGAAATTCAGCAAATGATATCAAGTTATGAGTAGGCGGATCTGAGGACTCATAGATATTAGGGAGGTCCTCAAAAGAAAGCACCACAATGGCAATGACACAAATGAACGTGGAAAAAGCTCCGAAAAAACTAATTTAAAAATTCCAAAATAATTGGTTACTGAGAAATCATGGAGAAATTTTGAAAACGGCATAGATTCTATTTGTGCCCACCTCAACAGAACTATCTCTTTCATGGATTTTATGAGTATAAAAGGTACGGCCACCAATGTCGCGGAAATACAAGTCCATGCGCGTACCCCCCATTGAACATTTAGATAATATTTAAATATAATGTCCAGATTTTGCCCGGAGAGTATGAGGAATAGTATTGGAACTCCCAAGAGAATCGCATTATTAAAGATGCCAACCAAAAAGTACTTTCCAAATTTTCCGAATGAATGATATCCTACTTCTTCATAAGAATGCAATCGAGTTTTACTGTACGGCGGGAAAAAAAAAAAGCGTTGCCAACGTAAACATAGTGTAAGGGGTTATACTCGTATAACAAAAAAAAACAAAAAAAAAAACAGAAAACAGAAAATGAATACAAACCCATTATAGTAAAGACATTTTATTAAGATCACGCTTGTGTATAGCGAAATCGCCATGGACAATATAATAAGACCCAAACCTACCCAGCCACTCTGCTTAATTGCGTACGGTAAACCTAGCACTCCAGTTCCTGCCACTACACAACTGCGAATAAATAAAATAAGATATTGTGCTGAATTATGATAGAGTACTACGACTTACGTAACGTTCAGGTATGCTGCCCAACTCGACCCTGAGGCACTTTCTTTTCCGTGCGAAACAACTTCAGCTGCTAATAAAGGGGTCTCCGAATCTATAGAAGCTATTGAACGAGCATAGCCTATTTCATTTTCTGACGATTCTAAATCCAAAGTCATTTTAGGTTACGAACTGATGTGATTATACGAACATCCTTAACTTGTAATATATACGACACGATTCGAAAAACGATTGCCAATTGTGATACCGATAATGTATATAGAGCGTGATCTTGCATGCATACATTATCAAGCTAGTTTTTATACTGTGATAAAAATAGCATCTACTACCATTGGATAGTTATTTTTAGTCATGATCTTCATTCTATTTCCATTTTT